TAAATCGCTCATGTATATATTCTATATGATATGATCTATTTTTGACATGTGGAATCTATTTCGGGTGCCTCGAAAATATCCTATAACCTTCAAAACATTTTTATAAATATAATAAAAGATAACATAAAATGTAGACGACGATTTCCCAAAACGCTTGCTGTTTCGGTGGGCAAAGTTTCCGCCTTCGAATTCACCTACAATTTTTAGACTATTGTGGTAAGTTATGTATGTTTGATTTATATTATTGTCTATATTAAAACATTCATTTTATTGATTAATGGTATTCTAATTTTAGAAGGAAAGTTCTGTCTTAATGAAGTGGACAACGCCAATCTTCCACGTGACTTCACGGAGATGGCGGACTTTGTATTTTTTTATGAGTGTGTGATAAAAATGGGCCGTAAGTTCCTTGTTATTTATAATAATGATTCGCATTAACAAATATCAATAGCAAATTATGAATTTAGTTGCTGGCTCGGGAAGTAAAGAAAGGTTTTGAGGAATCAAGAGCCGAAAAGAGACCATCGAGACTCTCCTACCTTAATAATTTGAATGTAGCGAATACTCTATAGAAGATGGTTGAATTTAATCAGACGATAAAAATTTTATGCTGTTTACTTTCCGATTTATCATATAGCATCACGGTTGATATCTTGTTAATCGATGTGTGATGGTTATAGTACATCTATCGCCGGAAAATTAAATCATATGCTTAATACACCCGAAATAGATTATGCATTATCCCAAATGTAGATTCACACACCCGAAATAGATTCCACATGTCAAAAATAGATCATATTATATACAATATATACATGAGCGATTTATACCATAAATAAATTCTTTAGAATTAACTCTAAACTACAATTCTCGCTACGACCCAATATGGATCTCTCCCATTCTCATCGTATACATCACTCACAAATATGATGAATATACACAACTCATCTAATAACCCAATCTGTATTAAAAATGAATCTGGTTTTAATATTGCAACTATTCTCGATAAGAAAGATAGAAGATTATCCAAACCCTTTAATATTTGCCCTGGATATGATCTTAAATATGTCGTATCATATATTGTAAATTATTTTGCTTTTGATGGAAAACGATATGACGAACTCTTCGATAATGAGAGATTATTTGACACCTTATCTACCATAAAACAGAACGAAACACCTGTTCAATGGGCAATACGGGTCAGAGTACCTTTACAGAATTTATTAAATGCTGGAAAATTTAGTGTATATCACCGGCTATGTTTATTCGCATCATTTGGTAAAGGTAAATTTGTCAATTTCGATTATTACAGACCAAAGATTCATAAAAGTCATATGGCTATTTGTTTTGGTTGCTGGAAATTATTGAGCCAGATGGTTTGATGCAGAAACATTGGGATCACGAGTGTGATAAACCTAAATCTCGAGATGGATATGCGAGAATCATACAAACTGCTTATCGAAATTATCAGCAAAAGCCTGAATCAGAATCCAATAGAATCTGGGAAGCAGTCAGAAATGATGATACTTCCGAGAACAAGAAGTTTTTAGGTATAACTCCTCAAAAAATAAGAGTTCCTGAAACTTCTTATGTTGGCTATGGTGGAAGAACGATTCTAGCTAAAGATGTACAGTACCAGCATATGCTCGAAATTTACCTGAAATGTTTTATCGTTATAGTATTAAAAGTTGGGCAGATGCTAAGAAATATCAATTACAAAATAGATTATATAACCACGTTTTAAATTTATTAAGGCAACAAGGATACAGAGTAATTAATAGTAAGCAATGGTATATGATGTTAAAGTGGATGCAGAATCCGAATCAATATCTCAATAATGGCTATCAAGACTTTGTTAGAATATAATTATTTTACATATACTTATCTTTTTTTACTCGAAATTTTTTTGCATGCAAACTTTTTGCGCGCAAACTAATAATCAATGTTTCATCCCGATTACAACCCCCCCATTATAGCAAAGCTTTCCAAAAAGTCTGGTTAAGAGAGCATATTATAGACTTTTACATCACTCTAGGTCTCCAGTTTCACCAGAGCAAATTTCTGAAAAAGTGTGATCGAATTGAGAATTATTTGCACCATACATTAGAGGTATATGAAAAAGGATTAAATAGGAAACGTAAAAAACAAATTAAAATTATAGAACCACTTGAAAATTTATCAGGTGTATACAGTATAACGTAGAAATGACTAACCAAGAATTCCAAACCCAAGATACTGTCCCGATTTGTACATGTGATCATGAGGATGAGATCAATCGCCGGGTTAAGAAAGAGGTCGATGTTTTATGTCAGCAATTACTGGAATATAATGAAAAAAATTTTGGCAAATTTATGCGAGAAATTACTATAGAACACGAGAATCGGGTCAAAGCCAATAAGAAATTACGATGTGAGGTTGAAGAAAAGAAGATAGAATTGCAAGAGGCAGAAAAATTCCTAAAATATCTGAAATCTCGCTCTATTGCGGAGCAATGGCTCTTCGAGCCTACTCATTAGAAAGATTAAGGGGAGTGTCCCACCCCAATCTAACTGCTAGAGGATCGTCTACTGCTTTAGTAAAATCAAAAATCACGAATTCACGATCCCGTAAACGCTTATCAATAATCTTGGATGCTTTTTTTGGATCATCCGTATATTGGCGCACGATTCTATGGATATCATCTCGGCTCCCTGCCCCTCGGAATAGGCATAAATGTGAGATATTTTCACGAATTATTTTAGGTGTTTGTGTATATTTCTGGCTCACGTATATGGGTGAGATATTTTGATGTCGGCCACTAATGAAGTAAGGAATAATTCGTTCTTGTACTTTTTTTGGTTTGGCACATAGATCCTCAAAAACAACAACTGTGCTTCGATCTGGTGAAAATTTAGTTATATCTGGAATCTTATCTGGTGCTATTCTTTTAAATGTGATATCTTCTCGATATTGTTTTGGGGCATTCGCAAAGATTTGGAAGCTGTCTTGAACTAATTTCCATTTTGGCTCGAAATGCTTACCTATTAATACAAGGTCATCATTTTTAATATAGCGATTGCCTTTATTACCTTTAAACATTCGCTGTAATTTATTACCAAGCATAAGATTTATAACCATATTAGTTTTTCCGCTATTGGATCCTCCACACACCAATAATCTAAATGGGCCCTCTGGTGAATACTTATTACCTTTCATTCGTTCTGAGGATTTTTTAGACGTTTCGTCGATATTATACTGTATACAAATATGGGCATTTTTCCTTCTTTCATTTTAACCAAAAGATAAGCAATATTTATTCTTTATGTGGTAAATAACCTTTCTTCTGCAATTCACTTTTTATATATGGTAATAAATCGCAACTATAGGGAATTATAATGAGATCTATACCCTCTCTTTTGCATATATCCCGTTTTTTTCGATCGCATGAAATTTGATCCTCTAGATCATCTTGATTTTTATGATATAAACTATTGCGATGGTAGTGTTGAATGCCCTGAAATTCAAATGCAAGTCGCAATTCCACATTATATCCATCCAAGTGTAACCCATCTAAGAATTTAGTCTCAGTGGTATGATGGCATAAGGGGCACCACTCAAAATTCGTAGCTATTAATGGATATGGATATTCCCACTGATGTTTTCCGTTTTCACAAGACCAGAGATATATGTACATCGAAATCATTTATTTGGCTAGTTTTACCAAGACATTTTCTATTACGCTTCTTTGCATACTCTTCAGCCTTAGCCATTTTATTAATAATACGAACAAAATTAATAGATCTGGAGTGTCCTATACTTGAAATAAGTCACAGACGTCAAACTAGTATACTATAAAAATGTATTATAAAATATAGATCATGATACTGACGATGGTATCACATTTCTGTTATCATGACATTGACCTGGAATAGTTATAATTTGAATTAAGTAATATAATTATAGTCTGTATAGACTATAATTATATCATTCCAGTTAAGTACTGTTTCTTATAAGAAATCATTTTATATATTGATCCAGCAGATATTAAGATTGTAATCTTTCTGTTAAGGTATAGTAACATAATGATCATCCAGATGGTATTATAATAATTATCTAATGAGAAAAGTCTATAGAATTACTTAGATATTTGGACATGCAGATTGGATTGTATTCCATTTTAACCAATTCCAAATCATTAATTCCTTTTTCCTGTTGACTGTCAAATAAGAAAGCTTTAAAGAAGAATACTGAACTGATATTAATATCTTATATAACATGACTATCCAATAACTTATATATATAGATATTGTGCCTTGCTTGATATTTATATTCTTAGATTTGTTAGCTTAAATAGGATTTTTAATGATATTATTTCGATACTTGTTTGATATTAGTTCGATACTTAAATTTATTATAAATTTATATGAGTGAATTATAACTCATATATTAAATTTACTATAGATTGATACCATTTAATATTACTTTGGTGCTAATTCAGTATTTTTGAAGCCTTAAGCTTAAGCCAACTGGTTCTGAAACTAAAATATCTACTAGAAAAGT